TCGTTCTCTTCGGCGCGCCTTTCTCGATCATTCTTTTTCTCATCGACATTTCTTCACTTTCCAGGTTCTTCGTTGGACTTTGACTCTGAAATACCGCCCGCACCTACCGACTTAACAGCAGACGAGAAAGAGACTATTAAATCCTTGTTCGGTTCAGACGTGCTGAGGGGTGATCTCCATCTGAGTGAAAACCAAGCAGATTACGATGCTCCCGCTCCCACCATGATGCTGAGAACTGAAAGCCAAAATCTACTTATGAATCCATCAACCTACAGCGTGCCTTCCCAAGCCTACCCGTTGTACTTCGTCGCATTCCAGGGCAGGCGGTACCCCGTGTACGACAGCACCGTCTCGCGTTCATTGGGATACCTGCAGTGGGTGCGACAGCGGCAGCGGAAGAAGCTACTGGAGCAGCAGCTCAGGACGCTTCTTGAAAAGCAGCAAGAACAGCTACGGGAGCAGATCGTCAACCTGGACGAGCAGGAAGCCGCTCTGGAGAAACAACGAAGCGCAGTTCAGGAGCAGCGGCAAAGATTGTGGACTCAGAGGGAAGCTTTGCGGGAGCAGCTGGGCGTTTTGCAGCAGCAGGAGAAAGAGCCCACCCCGTTCTATTTGGCGCCCGTCAATTTTTTGAGACCTGCCGCGATGCCCTCGTGGTCCGTCAGTCAAGATCCAAGCCTGGCCGAAGAGCAGCTAGGCGAGGCCGGGAGATTCGTCATCACAATCCCAGGACCCACCACCGTGGTGGCCAACCAGGCCCTGGCTGCCCCGGCCGCCCCCAACGCGTCGAGCGGGCAGACTCGTCAGGGCGGCGCTGCCCCGGCAGCTGCCCCCGGGGCTGCCTATGGCGGAGTAGTCACCCCTGGCGTCCCCGATTCTCTTGCGCAGTTCTCTAGATCACAGGCGGCTGCTGGCAAGAGCTCGAGCAATGTGTAGCTGTGTAGCACTATTTTGAATGATAAGAAGCAGCGCCCAGTGACCGAGTGGCAATGTTTATCGCAGAATTAATGAAACGTCCACCTCTTTAAGCCCTTCTTTTTCTCAGCTAATTCTACACAAAGTCGTCGCACAGATAAAAAGAATGCCCTTATCAGCAATTTGTGTCCGAGTGTTGTTAACAATAAATTCATACAAAATGTATTATCTAACTTGTCATACTATTGCTATCTTTTTTTTTTTAACTCGACAAAATGTAAATTTTGTTTTTGCCACTCGTTTGTGATTGTCAGTGCTATGTAATCCATCAAATGGAATATACCGTCAGTTAGTTAATCCAGCCAGTCTCTTTAGAATACCCTTTGTCGTGCCCTCCAACTAAGCAACATTTAGAAGAGCCTTCACCTCACGACTCCCGGGTGAGTCAATAGTTGAAACTATGCGCAATATACCCGCCGGGCAGCTGCGTGGAGCCGGCGGCCCACCCTGATCGAGGTTGGGCTTCCAGCTACTAACAACACGCTCCCGAGACCGAGGTTTAGTTTCACCATGATACAAGGCCATTCTAACATCGACCGAACAACCCGCCCGAACAGAAGGCGATTCGCGCAATATTCTTCTGAAGCGAACCAGGCGGTTGACACATCATCTCCACCCCGAAACACTGAGAGATTTCTGCCCCTCATTATCTCTTAAAGTGCACACGACGTGCATAATAACTGTCGCATGCAGCACTCGCGCCCTGCCTCGACTCTGGCCCGGTCAGTCGGACTGCACGGCCCCAGTGGTCACGATGGTTCGCTCCGAGCTCCTTCTCGCCGCGGCTGGCGCGCTACTGCTGGCCGTGGCCGCCGCTGCGCCCGCGTCAGCACCGAGCACCGCCGGGGAAGGCCAAGGTACGGTGAGGGGGTGTCAACGGGGAGTGTGGTGCGTCGGGGGGAGGGGGGGGGCTATCGTGCAAACGCGGATGAGTCTGCGAAATTATTGAAGTCGACAGGCATTACCGAACGTTTGCAACTCGAGAGGAGAAAAAGAAAAATTCCAGTGTAACATATACAGAGTGGCCCACAGGCTCCGAAGCCCAATTTAGTTATAAGTGGTACATGCGGATGTATGGAGGCCTTGTCTACTCGCAAGCGGCCATACAGGTACGGTTTTAGGTGCGGCTGACAGGGAAAAAGAGGGGGGGTGTTGCCTATATACAGGGGTTCTCTAGAAATTGCCTATGGCTCAGGCGGCTTTCTAGGGCTGACAGAGGGTGACTGCGTATGCTCGCACAGGTGCATAAGGTGGCGTATAATTGCGAAATATTCCGTGAGTCACCCTGTACCGGGTGTTGCAGAAAAGACACAGGTGCGGGCGGGTTTGCCTACCCGCTTAGCCCGTCAGGCGCCATAGCCCCTTGGGTAGGCAAACCCGCCCGCACATGTGTCTTTTATGCAACACCCGGTACATTTAAATATTGGTTGATATTCGAGGCAGCAAGGTATTTTGATTGTCCACTGCCGTCACTTACCTTACCGTTATCCGTACTGTGTGTTTCTTTTGTTTTGTTTTTAAGGAGGTGCACTTGCAACGACCCCACCAAAATATGGAAATGGAACCGATTTGAAGGAGGCTGTGCCTGAAAACACGCCTGCGAAAAGTATTGAACCGAATCTTGAATCTACAGTGGATTTATCTGCAAGCACTTCTTCTTCATCTGAAACTGGAGGAAGTAACAGTGATCTCAAGGGCATGACTCCAGAAGAAATTGAAGAGTTCAAAACCTTATTTCCTGGTGGTGAATGGAAGGAGCAATTGAATGAAGATTCCATATCATCAGGTGAAGAAAAAAAAGAGACGGAAAGAAAGGAAAGTAAAAAAGAAAGGAGGGAAAGGGAGAAGAAAGAAAAGGAGCAAAAAGAGAAAGAGAGAAAGGAACGAAGAAGGAAGGAAAAAGAGGAAAGAGAAAAGAAGGTGGAGGAGGAAAGAGAAAAGGAGGAAAAAGAGGAGCCAGGAAAAGGAACCGTGGCTGAGGAGAGAATAAAAGAGGAGGAGAGAGAAAAGAAGGAGGAGGAAAGAGAAAAGGAGAAAAAAGAGGAGCCAGGAAAAGGAACCGTGGCTGAGGAGAGAATAAAAGAGGAGGAGGAGAGAGAAAAGAACGACAATGTAGATAATGTACAGAAAGAAGAGGAGCAGAGGCAAGCCGATACGGAGAAAAAGTTAAATGATGAGAAAATGGGAGAGGGTAGCAGTGAGGGTAGCAGTGTAACGGCAGACACCCCCATCGCGTCCAAGTCCGTGCAGTCGGAACTCGAAGTCAGTGAGTCTTCTTTGCCCCTTGTGTCAGCCGTAGCCCAGCCCCAGCCCCAGCCCCAGCCCCAGCCTCAGCCTCAGGCTGCTGCGTGGACGGCCGCTTCGTCCTGGGGACCGGCACCGGCATCTCAGGGCTCTGCAGCTCAGCCCGCCTCTTCGGGCCTCGGCCAGCCTCGTAGTGCGACTCAAACCTTTAACATCATTTCGTCTTCGCCGATATCTTATCCTGGCACAGCGTCTCAGTCGGTGGCGCCGCCCACTCCAGAGTAAGTGCGGACACAAATTGATTTGTCTGTGACAACTTTTTCTATTCGTTGTTAGTACTGAAGACTTCCTTCCCAGGTCTATTAATTTATTCCAATCTTTCTACTATTTTCACAGGAATAGCGGCCGGTACACGTTTAATGTATCCCCACCCCCCGTTTCCCGGGAGAAGATCATCTCTAGCTACCTGCGCGACGTGTTTCAGTTCTCTGACACGAAACAGCTTCTCGACAGCCTGAAGAATGGACAACCATTGCAGCCCCAGGACTACAAGGGCGTTACGGTGAACCTCAAGTAAGTGGAGGAGCTCCGAGTGCCTGATTCGTCCCGCCCTACTGTCGTAGTCTCACAGACTGTACCGGGTGATTCAGAGAAGACGCAGGTGCGGGCGGGTTTGCATATCCTCGACTCAGCGGGCGCACGGGTCCCCTCCTCACCTCTCCCCAGACCTAGACCCGTGCGCCTGCCGAGTCGACGATAGGCAAACCCGCCCGGACCTGCGTCTTCTCTGAATCACCCGGTACAGTTCGCACGAGTGCGGGCGGGTTGCCAACTCGTGAGGCGCCGTAGTCAGAGACGCTACCAACTACGATGGTAGACGTGAAGCCCGGTCGCACACAATAATGTGAACGGGGTTCTGCGCCTGCACCATGCATCATATGTAATTTGGTTTACTTACCCGACGTCATCTCCGCAGGGTCACCGGGTACGACGGCAAACCCGTCGTGAATCAGGCGGGCCCTTGGACTTCGCGCCCTTACACGGCGCCCCCGGCCCTCGCTGCCCCCGCTGCCCCCGCGCCGACCTTCGCGCCGGCGGCCCCGGCCGCGGCGACCCCCAACGCCGCCCTCCAGGAGGTGACCTACCCGTTGTATTTCTTGAACTTCCAAGGCAGACAGCTACCCGTGTACGACAGCAACGTGGACACCGCCAAGGTGTTGGCGCAGCTCGAGCAGCTCAATCAGATCCACCAGCAACAACAGGAGACGCTGCGCCAGCTGCGCGAGCAGATGCAGCAGGAGCTCCAGCTTGCCCAGCAGCCCACCCTCTACCACCGGCCGCCCGTCGATCCGCCGGCCAAGGACACCCAAGTGATCCAAGTCCCCGTGCCTACGGAGCTCGAGTCCGTTGAGGGCAGCTCCGGTAAAATCCTGCAGCCCATCAAGACCTCCCAGGCGATCCTGACCATCCCGAGCTCCCCGGACCAGCAGCTGGTGGAGCGGGGCCTGGGCAGCGCGTCGAGCAGTCTGCTGCAGCCCATCCCTGCCTCCGGGCCGGTCTTCTCCGTTCAAGGGCCCATGACCGTGGTCGCTAACCAAGGTCCCTCTCCAGCCTGGCAAAGCTACTCCAGCCCTGGCCTTTCGTCCGGTGCAAGCGCGACCCCCAGCTCTGTGTACAACGCTGCGGGAGCCGCTGCCGCCTCCCCGGCATCCCATGCGCCTTACAAGGGAGTACTCACCCCTGGAGTGCCCGCTTCCCTGGAAGAGTACGCCAAGTCGCTGGCGGCCGGCGGAGCCTCCTCTGGCTCTGCGGACAACGCCCCCTCTTCTGGTGCCGCCTCCAGTGTCACCTACAGCGCCGCCTCCTCCAGTAGCTCCGGGGCCGCCACCTCTGGCTCCCCCGACCCCCTTGCGCAGTTGAAGTCGCAGCCGACTGCCGGGGGCTCCTCCAGCTCGTCCGCGTCCCTCGCCTCCCCAAACCGGATCACCTTCACGATCCCCGGCGCCAACTTCGTGCCGTCGTCGACTCAGTACAGCCAGTACAGCAGCGCTCCCCAGCAGGTGTTTACATTTACCTCGAGCGCCGCCGCACCGGGTACCGCAAACTACCTGGTTCCTGGTACCATTCCCGACGTCAGTGCCACTGGTACCAGTGGAGTCCTCAGGCAACTGCCTGCAGGTTACCAGACCACGTTCCTCGCCCCCACGCAGCAGCAGCAGCAGCAGACGACCACCTGGGCGCAGCGTCAGCCCTACACGGTTTCCGTCTATGCTACGCAGACCAAGTCTTAACGCAATGTAACGAAAATGTAATACGATACGTGAGCTGCTATGCTAAAATAAATTCAAGTTTCTCAGAAGCCATTCTGTACATTTATTATCGAAAAAATAAACGAAAAAAAGAATATCAACACTAACAGTATACTTTTTAACATATCTGGTTGGTGACACTCGAGGTGGCACTCTATCATTTGCAAATAAAAGCGAAAGCAGGCTTTTTTGCAAGCAGATACAACTGAAACTGTATGCTAATTAACTTCAACTATGGTCTCAGACGAATCAGAAAATTTAAATCAAATAACGAATCAGTAAGTTCAGTATTAGACCCTCCTCCCCCCTAAACCTACTACCTATATCACCAGTTCACATTCGAATGGTCGCGCTCGCCTGCCGATGCGTCTGTCGTGCAAATAAGATTTTTACTACCCAGTTTTACTTATTCGCACAAAACCGATACTCGCACTACTGAGTGACAAGTGACAGTGATCTATATTTTTCCATTCAATCAATCAGTTTTGGGGGGCGTACAGTTTTTCGACAGTTCTGTTTCTCGACTAGCCCTTTTAATACATACACCAGGCTTTTAAAATCAAATTAGTTTGGTAAGTGCTCTCACTCACTTTGTAGTTTTCGTTAAAATTGAATTACCGTCCCATAACCTCGTCCTGTCATTCCTTCCCGTATTATTCATGACAGCTGCCTTTCCTTTGTGTGTTTCATTTAAATATTCAGATTTTTATGTTTTGCTTCCTATTAGACACAACCGTCAACATGCTGTCATTTGAACGTATTCCCGATCAGGTGGGCTATCTTGTAATGACTGAAGATGGTGCTGTAGTGTCGGTAAGTTCCAACAGTCACAAATCTGGTGATTTTGTCATATATTTTATGATCATAGTATTCTTATTATTGACTGGTGCCTATTTTATGGAATTTCATGAAACAGTCTAGTGGCGAGCTGGAAAATGGAGAAAGAATCGCCAATGTTGTCGCTGGACTTATTTCACTATCTGATAAAGTAGATCCTGTTGCTTTCCCTGGAGACAAAGGTTTCAAGAAAATAACCGGTAGGTTAGGTGACAGTTTCATTCAGTGTATTTTTACTAAACCACCATGTTAATTTTTATTCTTCAATTTTTCTTTAGTGAACTATGAAAATCATGCTTATATCATATGCCTGTCCAACAAGAAAGTTTATGTTGTGAAGAGACGAACACATCCTCAGGCACCACTTGATGCAGACCTGACTTCTTGACCTGTCAAGGTACAAGACCCCTCCTTAATACTACTTGAAAATTTAAACTGAAGAAAGTAATATCTGTAATTTTGTATCTT